AAACGTATAAACGTACAAACATATAAACGTATAAACATATAAACGTACAAACGTATAAACATACAAACGTACAAACGTACAAACGTATAAACGTATAAACGTACAAACATATAAACGTATAAACATATAAACATATATATAACATATATAATTTTTCACGTTTTAAATCCTGTAACTTGCTTCTAGTTTTCTCTTTAACTGCCAACAAAGACGTCATTTAAATCAAATCATGATTTTTCTCTGAACATAACAAACCTCAACATCACAGAACAAACTAAATATTATTCTGCATCATGAGTACTTTTACTGTTGATACTTTATAAGTAGTTTTCAGTATATTTTGATGCTGATACAAAACTTTGAATGCAGGAGTTTTACTTGAAACGGAGTGTTTCTACGCTGTGTATTTGTACTTTTAATTGAATAAGAGTTCTTCTTCCACCTTTTGAAAACAGATTTATTATGAACACAGACAGATGATGTCGTCCTGCTGACAGAGACATCAGATGATAAATCACATCTATGTGGCTACAAAAGAGGATGCTAAAAATATTGCTCCACAACGCTCCTAGTGGTCAGAACCTCTGCAGGGTTCCTTTAACTTAAAGGCCAAATACCTTCCCAAATAAGTCCAGGATCGAGGTCTAACTGAGTCCTTTATTTATTAGATTTAGACGTGGAAACCGTCCCCTCAGCTTTATGAGCATTAAACCACCTGTGACTAAAAACATCTTTGATTTAATTGTGTCACAACATGAAGATACAATCAATCTCTCTTTGATTTCATGTCTCCATCCCTGCTGCTGATTGGTGAACTCCTGCTGTTTAATCTTACACTCTTGTTCCTCCTCAGCCTCTTGGACTCCTCCTCCTCTTCCTCCTCCTCCCCCGCTGATGAAGAACAGTCTCCGGCCTCCTTCCCCCTGGACTCCTCTCTCAGCCCCTCACACCGGGCCTTCCTCCTCCCCAGGCCGGCTTCCTCCTCCTCCTCCTCCTCCTACAGCCCCCTCTGTGGAGCTCCGGAGCCCGACTCTCCGACCAGATCTACTTCCAGCGGCGGAAGCAGCGGGGGCGGTACCGCGGTGTCGGATGCCTCCATGTGTTTTTCCTCAGATTCGTTTTCAGCACAGGTGAATAAAGTTGAAAGTAGAAATGTGTATTCATCCACCGCTGAAAATAGTCCCCAACAAAAAGTCACTGTTTCCTCCAGTTTGTTTGATAAAAACCACATGAATTACTGATAAAAAAAACTTCATACAGTGTTTTTTAAGAGTAACTTCTTGAGCTCTGAGACAAATTTATTTTATTTATTTATTTATTCATTCATTCATTCATTATTTTATTTTATTTTATTTTATTTTTAACGATTGTCTCACTGAGTTATCTGTTATTGTTATTATTTCCTTTCTTTTGCTGTTTTGTCTGTCAGAGCACTTTGTAAACTCTGTTTTTAAAGAATAAATAAAGTTATTATTGTTATTATTATTATTATTGTGCCTCCTCTCTACAGGTGGACTCCATCCTGAGGGGGGACTACTTCACCCCCATGGGGGCCGTGGGGCCCAAGAGGCTCTGCCAGGTGTGCGGTGACTTTGCCTCAGGGTATCACTACGGCGTGGCGTCCTGCGAGGCCTGCAAGGCGTTCTTCAAGAGGACCATACAAGGTGATGATCAATAAGAGGAATTAACAGGCGGAGCTGATCAATACGACAGCAGCCGCTGTATTGATCAGTGTGTGAAGCTGTGAGCTCACACATCAGCTGCTGGGTTCACACCAGAGGAACAGAGGAACAGAGTAGTTCTACTCCAGGCTCATTGAGAGAGGGTGTGATGTCATCGACCTTCCTGTTTGTGGTTACCTAGGGGACATCGAGTACAGCTGTCCGCTGGTGAGCGAGTGTGAGATCATCAAGCGGAGGAGGAAAGCCTGTCAGGCCTGTCGCTTCCACAAATGTCTCCAGGCCGGGATGATGAGGGAGGGTACGTCACGTCCATCTGTCTGTCTGTCTGTCAGGGAGGCTTCCCATGAGCCTTTGCAGGGTTGTTGAGCCTCGTTTGTTGTCAGAAAGTTACAGAGATCAGTTTAAAGACCACAAAGAGACACTAAACGACCACAAAGAGACACAAAGAGACACTAAATGACCACAAAGAGATCACAGAGACACAAAACAACTGCAAAGAGACACAAAGAGACCCCAAAGAGACCCCAAAGAGACCACAAAGAGACACAAAACAACCACAAAGAGACAAAAAACAACCACAAAAAGACATTAAAACAACTACAAAGAGATGAAAAATGACCACAAAGAGACTTAAAATTGCTACAAAGAGACTCTATTTGTAGTCTATAAAAGTCACAGTTGACTTTACTACTCCATAGTTGTAGTATTCGTGTCTCATTCAGTATTGTGTGTCTCTGTGTTGCAGGAGTCCGTATGGACCGAGTGAGAGGAGGCCGACAGAAGTACAAGAGGCGTGTGGAGACAGGACTGTGTTTTTACAGTAAAGCTCCGTACAGTCACCCAGTGAGCAGCAGTGAGTTCACTCATCGAGCTCCAACGTTAACTTCACTTATCAGTTCAACTCAACGGTGATGTTTTATCAACTGTCGCCTGTCTTTTTAGGAAACAAGGTGGTTTCTCATTTGCTGCTGACAGAGCCCGCCCCACTGGCTGCCAATCAGGACGATTCGACCAATGAGGGCAGCCTGCAGAACCTCATGACCCTCTGTGACCTCCTGAACCGGGAGCTGCTGGTTCTGATTGGCTGGGCCAAACAGATCCCAGGTACCCTGAAGGCCTCTTGGAGACTTTTAATGCTGCACTACACCATCAGTACAGATCTTTACCACATCTGTACTTTGTAGCTTTAAGATTCTTCCTTTTAACTACGATATCTTTTAATAAAAGGATAA